AAACAAGAAGCCAAAAAGGGGTTCTTAACGGGTTTGATATGGTACACAAACAGGGGTACGAAAGATAGCATGGGTTCGGGAAGTGGTTCGTCACATATGTGACGCGGAGGAGGTTCCAAAATTATGCGATCTTCTGATTGCAGGTCATGGCAGAAAAAGAGAGAGAGAAGGAGGAATAAGAGTGATGCATGAGGAACCAAGCGTATCAACAAACGATCCAGCCAGAGTCCATGTTGAAGCCAACTTCAATTGCAACTGTATGTTGCTGGAATCCTCGACGGTCGTTCAGGTGACGCCATCATAGTCCGCTGGTTCTCCGTGTGCTCTGCACCCCAGCTGACTGCTGCCCGTCGAATCAGAGCGTGATCTTTGCGAAGCTTACTGATTCGTGTTGATGAAGAGAGGGGGGGGGGGTCACGTGAATGGGGCCTACTGCCTAGTTGGAATAGGCCAATAGAGACGGTGCATGGAGGGGATCTCGCGGGGATGACGGGGAGGAAGTGGGGGCAGGAAGCGATTCATCCCTTCCATTGTCACCGGGAGCTCCTCATATCGGATGATCCAGTGGAAGTGGGGGAAATGATCGCCACTGTGGGGAAGGGAAGCGAGGTAGTCGCGAAAGAAGGAGGAGAGGGTGCGGAAGAGCGCCGCTTGAAAGATCTCGAAGTGGCGGCAAGCGGGGATGGTCCACGTGGCGACACAATAAACTTCTACCACGTTGCATCGTTCCCATGCAGCGCTGAACAGGAGGATGTGCCAGCAGAACGTGGGGGCAGCGGATTGAAGGGAGGCGTGGGGGTGGACGGTGGCGAGTAGACGGGTAGAATAGAAGTCGCGGAAGAGATGGGGATGGAAAGGATGGGAGGGGAAGGTGACGGGGGTACGGATCTGCTCGAGGGTGAGGAAATCAAGGGGTCGGCGGGACAGCGTCCGAGGACGAAGGCCTATTGCCCGCATCGGTATGTGGGCGAACTGGGGGACGGGTGGGGCTGGAGGAGGAGGGGGATCGACTCCGTCTCCGTCGCGCGGTACTTGAGGTGGCGGCTGCAGGGTCGCCATCTTCGGGCTTCAGTAGCTCTGGATCCCTGGTCGGATCATGACCGATGCGCAGGCTAGCTTGGCTGGCGAACTCCAGCTGGCGCTTCCTGGTGGCAATTTCTTCGCGCTTTCGCGCCGTTTCCGGATCTTCTGCCTCTGTTCCCGTACGCGTGGCTTCCCCTGGTAGGCTTCCCACTCGGATCCGGTTTCTTCTTCCTCCTCTTCTCCTTCGCTCAGCTCGCCCTCGCTATGTTCACTATAGCTTCCCTCCTCCGATGTTTCCTCGTCGTTGTCTTCTTCTTCGTCGTCGTCTTCGATCACCACTTCCTCTGCCCTCGGATAGAAGGCGTGAGGGATGATCTCGTACGACTTCAGATACTTCTGCCGCGATGGTAGGGTATCCTCGTCCCTAGGTTCCTCCAAGCACGCCGTCCACTGAAGGTACGGATCCAATGATCGCTCGAAAATGTACGGAGGAGGACTGCCATCACTCTGAAAATAGATGTCGGGCGAGAGATCGTCTGCCAATTGCACGATCGGTGCGATAAGCTCCTGCGCAAGAAGGTGGCGTCGACCTGGCCGTACCGATCCGAAGAGAAAGCCAAGAAGATCTCCTTCCACGTTAGTCCTCCAAGCCTGTATGATCAGCAGCTCCGGATTCTCGATCCACGTGGGATGTTCGCTAGTGCCCGTCCACGTCACCTGGCCAAGCAGAAGGACAGCTCCTCAAAAGTTTCGCGCCACAGTCGCCAATGTCCAGGATTGATAAGAGGGACTGAAAAAGGCTCGAACGAGAAGGAAAGAGAAGGGTGAAGATCGGATTGCCAGAAGGTGGGGAAGAGAGAGGGGAGACCAAAGATAGAGAGAGGGGCGAGAAGAGCGGCGTGGTTCATTGGGGATGTCGGAAGAGGACGAGGGTTGGATCGCAACTGGCCGCTCGCGCGGTGATCGGCAAATATTGTCTAGATCCGGTGTAAAGATCGAGATGATGTTATACCCCTGTCGGGCGAGGACGTGCTGCCACACGTTGGACACTTGCTCCGTCCACTCGTGAAGCGAGGTCAAAATCGCGGTATGCCACAGCGGATTGGCCGAGCTGATGTCGTTGGTGAATGCCGCCACCGTGGTGACGTGGCTTGTTCTGGGACCCGCTTGCCGATGAACTGCGGTTACTTCCGCGAATACCACTGCGTGAGGACTTCCTTCGATTCGAAACGCGGCGGCGGCACAAATACCTTCGTCACAGAAGAATCGCATCAAATGTCGAAGATCCGCATTGAGTCGAGGGTGACAAACTTACTGAATCTCAGAGATGTGGCCACGTGGCTGCAACAGCTGTGCGTCAAGAACCCGCTCCGTTATAAAACTCATGGCGAGGTGGGAGAAGAGGATGAAGGACAAGAGGGAGAAAAGAGGAGAGAGAGTTAGATCGTCGTCGTTCTCCTCGCTTTCTGAGGAAGATGAGGGAGGAGGTTCAGAATGAGGAAGAAGACGGAGGTAGGAGGTATGTCGGACGATGGGGACAGAGCTATGGCTGGCACTAGCCTCAGGCGCGATGCGCACCGTGTTGGCGCCGTTGGGTCCGAGCTCGACAACGCGAAAACAGCCAGAAAACTTGGGAGCGAGTTTCCGGTCGCGTGCACATTTGCGTACCTGCACTAGGTCCCCTAATTTATATTGATGCTGGGGCCCAGCATTTCCATTCCGAGCCTCGTAGCTACGAACCTGTCTACTGTGGGCCATTTTCGGTCATCCTTTGCCTTTTTCGGGCTAGCTTTGGGACGGCCCGTTCCATTAATTCGGCGTACCTTTTGGCCCTGGCCTTGAGAGCTGCACGCGTGTCTCTACCCCCTGTTTCGGCAATTTCCGAGTTACCCCGGTAATCAACACAGGGGAGGCTATTAGTTCGAAGCTGAAAGGGGGTAAACCCCGTAGACTCGTGAGAGGTGGCCCGTTGGATTCCGACGATCTGATATATGATCTCGGGCCAAGGACGCGTGTCGTGTGCCGCTAGGTTCCTGCGGAGGGCGGTTTTAATTACACGGTTGGCATTCTCGGCCAACCCGTTCGACTGGGACACGTGGGGTGCCATATGTCGGAGCGTGACGCCCCTTCGCGCAAGCAGTTCCTCTACCTCACCTTTGAATTCCGACCCATTGTCAGTTAGAATTTCTTCTGTATCTAGATGGGTGTAGAGGAATCGTTCGATGTACGTGGCTATTTCTGCGGCCTTTCGGGTCTTACAGGGATAGACTTCAATGTATTTGGAAAAATGGTCAATTAAAACTAACAGGATATAATATTCATAGCGGCTTGGGCCTGGTGGCACGTCAATATCTGTCGTGTCCATATTGACTCGCTGGAAAGGACACTCTACTTCCGTTGGTACGATCGTGTTTGGTCCCCGTAGAGGGGCGCGATCAGCGGCACAGACCAGACAGCTAGCGACAATGTACTTGACGTCATCTCATATATTGGACCAGAACCATCGGTTCTGGTCCACAGTTGCCTCTGTGACACGTATTGCGAAATGAGCGGCCTGTTCTTCGTGAGCGGATCGGATCCATTCGTATCTCTGGAAGGGATGGGGAACCGTCAACCACGAACCTGATCCGTTAGTTTTACGCTTTTCCAAATGACCGTTGATCCATCGATAGTCCCGAGATCTCTCGGTTGCCCTACGTCTGTCGTGTTTGGTGAGGTGACCCAATGATAATCCCGCTAATTTTGCTAATAGAATTTTATCCGTCCAAACCTCCGCTCGTCGGTATTTTTCGTCGTATTCAGGACCGTCCGTACGGGCGGCCTCGAATCGAACCTCCGTGGGGAGCTTGTTTGTTCTACACAGGGGGCACCTCCATTCCTTGCTACTCATCCGATATCGAACGCAGGCCCCGTGCGCACGGTTGACACACGTGGCACATTCTACCCAATCGACAAACCCGGTCTCGAAAGGATGGCAGTCGACCCCATGAACCCGTGCAATACACGTGCAAAAATAACAAAATTTATCGGGAAGGGTGGTGAAGAAAGTCGAGGAAGTGAGAGAGGCAAAGTTAGTAAAAGAAGAAGGGGTTGCAGAGGCCAGTGGGGTGGTCATGATGACAGAGGAGGAGGGGATACAGGGAGAGTAGAACAGAACAATTAGTCCTCGTGTCACTTACTGCTTCGATAAGATCTCCACTTGGCCGTACCGAGGTCCGATCTCCTGTTCGGGTTCGTTCCACGGAATTACCTCCTCACTCTTTTGAACCTTCTCAGGCCGGTGCAGTCGTGTCAGTCCGTCCGCATTCCCGTGTCTTTCGTGCTTCCGATGACGAATGTCAAAGTCCATGCTCTGCAGCACAGTTGCCCATCGCCCGATCATGCCAGAGTAATCCTTCGATTTCTTCAGAGCCAACAGGGGCTCGTGATCAGTCACCAAGGTGAATTTTCGCCCGTACAGGTAAGCACGAAAGTGGCTGATTCCCCAGAGAGCCGCATAGCATTCTCCCGTCGGAGCGGCGTAGTTGCGCTTGCAGGCGAACACTGATTTGGACGCATACTCTACCACGCTTTCGATTCCACTTGGTCCCACCTGGGCGAGGATCGCCGAAATCCCCTCTGGCTGCCAGTCAGTGATGAGAACAAAAGACTTTTCGGGAACCAGTCTAATAAGGACCGGAGCCAAAGTGAGGGCGGCCTTGACTTTGGAAAACGCTTGATCGCACTCCGACGTCCAGATCAACGGTTGATCCTTGCGCAGCAGGTTTGTGAGGGGTCCCGCAATCGCCGCGAAACCCGTGATAAATCGTCGATAGTACGAGGCTAGGCCCAGAAAGGCACGGACTTGCGTGATAGTTGTAGGCATCGGCGCGTCCCTGACAGCTGCCACCTTCTGTGGCTCCGACTGGAGTCCCTTGTCCGTCACCACGTGCCCTAAGAAGGAAATGGTGGTGAGGAAAAACTGACACTTCTCAAGCGCCACTTTGAAGCCCGCATCTCGTAACGCATGCAGCGCCCATTCGATGTGTTGCACGTGTCCCTCGTAGGAACTCGAATACACCAGGATGTCATCCATGTACACAATCACGCAGTAGTTGATGATGCTCTGCGCCAAAYGAGTCTTCCTYACGAAATTWTGAAAAGCCATGTTCATGGCCCGCTGAAAGATCGCAGGGGCATTGCAGATACCCATCGGACATCGAATCCACTGCCATGTACCTTCGAAAAGCACGAACGCTGTTTTCGGACGATCTTCCTCTCGAACAAGAAGATGATGGAACCCATGGCGAACATCAAACTTGCTAAAAAAATCGAGCACTCCCAATCGCATCCAACAACTCATCCCTCCGGGGGAGGGGATACACATCTTTGATCGTGATATCATTCAACTTTCGATAATCAATGCAAATGCGAATCCCTCCAGCCTTTTTAGGTACAATCACTACCGGGAAAGACCATGGACCTATAGCGGGTTCGATCCATCCGTTAGCTTCGAACTCCTTAATCCGCTGAAAAGCGGGCGCTCTTTGAGCTGGCGAGTATCGGTACGGAGCGCAGCTAATGGGCGGATGATTTCCCATGAGGATGGCATGCTCAATCACATTAGTTAAGCCGATATCATTATCATGCACGCTCAGCACCTCTGCGTAACCATTTAACACACAGATTAATGACCTCCGAAGTTCCGCGGGAACGTGACTCGGGAGGGGGATTGTTGATTCCCTGTAAATCTCAAGGGGCATATCTACCCAATCAATCGGCCATTCTCGTCGATCGGCGATACTAGAGAAAACGGAACTACTGGTGCGAACAGAGAAGACAATCGCTATCATCTGGGACTCAACGGGGCTGATCATCTCCGTCTCTTTAGTTTCAGCGTCGGTCTCTGAACCAACCGAGGTCGGTTCCACAGTAAACCCTGTTAGATCCGTCATTTCTTGCATCAGATTAGGTACATCACTTACCGGTGCTTCCGCCTCTTGTTTAATCAAGGCGATTGTGGCTCCTGTCGTTAGTAGCGATCGGGGTGGAAAAACAGAAACGTCCAAATATTGTTCCGTTTGCTGATAACGTGTTCGGAAGGAGAGAGCTCCCTCGTACAAGGTACGAGGGGGTTCCAAATCATCAGCCCGACTGGAGACTTGCAATATAGGTTCCTCGAGGAGGATTGAAGGACTGACCTGGGTCGTCAGAGGCGTGCACGCGCTGTCTCCGACATCCACGTGGAAGCTTCGGGTGGTGTCGGGGTACACTTGAAATTCCTCGGGAACTTCTCGTTCGAAAAGTTCGACCAGGTGCCTCCATTCTTCTTCGCTGGGCATCTATTCTTCGTATCCTTGCTTCCTGATTCCATCTCCGAGGCGTGAGGGAGAACATTCATCGGGATCAACGCATCAAATCATCCCTATTTGGGCCGGGTTAGGGATCCGCTTTATCATTCGGGTGAAAACTCGCAAGGGAATAGTTTGAGGTTTTCCCCGGTTTGTGTGAGCACCAATTGTCTCGAATCGAAATGCAGACGTGCGCCTACCGCCATCGCCCAAGGTAATCCTAATAACACAGAATAGGAACGTACATATATCACGAGCGCGTTAACAAGGACGTGTACTCGCCCGACTTTTACAGCCACGTTCTCGATAATGCCTACAATGTTCATTGCCTCCTCGTCGGCAGAGACATAATTGTCTTTGCCAGATTGAGGAAGAATGGATCCCAGTCGTCCCGTCTTTTTGACAATATCCAATGATATGGCCACGACAAAAGACCTCGTATCAATAAGGGCATTAAACGGCTTGCCCCAAACTTCACAGTCACATTCCGCACTTTTCCACAATACCGGCCGAGCTCGTACGAAGTGATCTTTTTATGCTAAAGAGATTGCTGCTATGCGTGCGGCTTCGGGTTCCGGTTCTTTCGTGTCAACCTCAGGGGGTGCAACTTCCTCGTTTTCTTCTTTCTTCTTCAACATCCATTGTATGCGTTGATAGGTGAAAAACTTTTGATTTTTCTGGCAATGTTGTACAAACTTATCGTTCGCTATTTCAGATATGGTGAGCAGATGTCTCACTGGAATGGGCACGCGAATATCTAGTTGCTTGAGCGTTTTCAGTACATCAATGTCTCCTGTCCGAAACTGTGGTCCAGGATTGGATTCGCAATCGACACACTCGAGATCATCCGGGACCGATCGGATTGCTCCGATCATGCCTGCAAGATGAAGATATTCGAGTGGATCAACTATGTCAGCAGCGTCTGAGGAAAAAACTCCTGATGTCGACGCCAGTGTCGTTGAAGGGGAAGGCTGCTCGGGGGCATGGGCCCGTTGTTTAGAACGGAGGGGCTTCGGCATGTTTCGCGTGTCTCGTTTTCGGATCAAGTCCCATCGTCGTTCGTTGGTTAGTTCTGAGTCTGATGAGGAGGGTCGCAGACACGCGGCTCTCTCCTTGTGCTCGTCCTCACTCCGTATTCGGTAGTGGAAGCCCTTTGCTTCGTAGCGATTGAAACGCTGGAACTTTGTGCACAGGGTTCGAGGCCAATGGGGCACCACTGCCGTCCACGGGATGACGATCAGTTCGTTAAAGGGGAGCAATATTGAGTAGGGTGGGAAGTGTGTGTCGATAATAACAAACCCAGCCTCTACGAACCCCGAACAACGGTTTGCCGGAGGGAAGTAGTATCGTCCGCCGATCTGTGC